GGGCATCCTGCGGTTCCTGGGTGCCCCAGGGTGGCATACCCGCTGTTGGGGTAGCCCCGGATGGCAGAAGGGGCAAGAGATGGGAGATGAGGCAGCAGTGCCACAAAAGTGCTGAAATCACTGTCCGGCATGGACCAGACAGGGCTGGCTTTACTAACTGCTGGGAACATGCCCCAGGGTGTCAGCAACCGGTCCCTGGCCCGCACCACAAATGTCCCGTGGATGGAGGAGCAGCGGGACCTTTTTGCAGGGCTGCCCTGCCAGGACGTGCCTGTATCGGGGGGGAATCTGGGGGGGGCTGGGACATTTTTTTGGGGTGTGTGCCTGTGTTAGGGTGCCTCGAGGGCAAGTAGCTCCCATTCCTTGGGCACGGGGCTGAGGTTTTCCAGGGGTTTTAGCGGCTCTTGGGAGGTGAGTGCAGCAGCTCAGGTCTTGGACATGGTGGTCCTGGATGCAGTGCGTGTGTGTACACATGTACGTGTGTGTGCACAGCGGACTCTGCTTTCTGTTTTGACTTCCCAGCAGACAAAGCAGCAGTGCCAGCCCGGGGACAGCACCACAGGCTCTCTGGAGGGTCAGGCTGAGATAGCCCTTCGCCCAGTCCCTTTCACCTGCAGCTGCTGGGGAAATCCCTTTCCCCTCCGCTCCTGCTCTTTGGGCTCTGTGCAAAGCAGCGTGCCCCACAGGTGCTGGGCAGCAGCGCTGTCATCTCCTGCCTCCGTGGCCTCCTCCCTGCTCCAGGAGTTGGGATGGATCCTGCTCTCCTGCCTGTGTGCCCCGTCCCAGTGGAGCGATGCGGGGATGTCCCGCAGGGAGGGGAGATGAGGGAAGCAGGGGGTAACACGGGCGAGCAGGAGGGTCAGCGATGCCTTCTCGCTCCAGGCGCTGCCACAGAGGTTTGGGCTCCTCTCCTTCCATCCTTCTCTTGTACCTGCCTGTGCATTTGTCACCAGTGGAAATTTCCGCTGGGTTTGCCTGTGCTGGGGCTGGCCTCATCCTTTTGCAGGACCACGCTGCAGCCCGGCGCAGGCGGCTGTTTCTGCAGCAGGTGAAACTCTGACAACTTCACAGGCAGCTTAAGGAGGGTCCGCTGGGCTCAGGCGCCCGGCTTGCTGCAGCAGCCGCGCTAGAAAACTCAACCTGCCCACGGGTGAGAAGAGAAACGTTAAGTTATTCTGACCTAGAGAAGAGTTAGCTCCGTCTGTCTTCACTGAGGGCTTTTTGCTGCCGGCATGGCAAGCCACCCCCAGCTCTGCTCTTGCTGGGGCCCCCTCCGTATTGGGGATGCTGCTGGTTAAACCAGCTCCTGTGGGGAGGGAGGAAGAGGAGGGGGCTGTGGCACTGATGACCATGCTGGGGATGAGGAGGGGACCTGGTGGTGATGCCACGCTGGCACCTGGGGACAATTTGCTGCCCCAGGGGAAGAGGACGAAGAGGCCAGGTTGAGGACCATCGGGTCTGGTTTTATTCATTACCACGGGGCTTAGAGCAGGCAGCACGAAGCGCGGCAGGGCCAGATGGGCCCTGTTTACTCTGTGAGGGTAAATGTAAAGAGAAGTGATAAAAAGCAGCCGGGACAGCTTCTCCGGTAAGTCCCTGGTAAACAAGCCAACGGTGCCCCGGCCAATGGGCAGCATGGCAAATAGCAGGCGCGTTGCTGAGCGTTAAGCTGGGTTCCTTGGGAACAAATGGAAGGGCTTTGGGGTGAAATCCATCTTTAATGGCTCAATGTGGCTGGGCTGGGGGAGTCCCGGCTGGGTGCTGTGGTCAGGACAGGACCTGGCTGATGGTGTTCCCGGTGGTGGCATGGCTGGTGTGGAGGAAGACCGGGCTGTGCCGGGACCCTGTGCCGCCTTGTGTGATGGGAGAGCAGTTTGGGGGGCTCAGCAGGGTGTGCAGCATCCTGCACGTGGGGATGAGGAACTGGAGATGGTAGGGCTGGCTGCGTGGCCAGGACCTGCCAACATAACCCTGTGATGCCAATCGAGCCGATAAACAGCTCGTCTCTGGTGTAATGGGCTTATTTTCCTGGGATTCAGCCACGTTGCTAATGCACTTCTGTGCTTCTCTGGGGCTCCCTGCCTTGCGCCAGCCACGGGCTCGGTCCTGGTGCTGCCTCCGAGGATGTAGCCCTGCTCCACATTCAAGGATGCTCTGGGAGAGGCACCTTGTGACCACGTGCCGAGGGCACCCTGAGCCTCCCGTTATGAGCCGTTCCTGGGATGAAGGCCACCAGAGTGGGGGGACCAGATGGTTCAGTTGTACCTGGCCTTGTCCTTGCCCTAGGCACGCTGCACGCTGGAGCACTGGCACATGGCATGACGGAGGGATCTCGCTGGTCACAGGCGCTTGGGACGGGCAGGGGATACAGTGTGGAGGTGCAGATCCATACCTGGAGTGGGATCCAGGCACGCTATCCACGGAGAGGCAGGGCTAATGCTGACCTGAATATTTTACACAAATATTTGATGGCACAGGGTGGGGTGACATTAGAGAGATGCCTTGGCTCTGGGCAATCATTTGGGATGCTGCTCCTGGGTGGTTTTCCCAAGGGGAAGAGGTGTGGAGTGGGTTGGTGCCCTGGCTGGAAGGCATCCCCAGCCACCACTCTTCCCGCAGCTGAAGGGTGGGATGCCGGATGCATCCATCTCTGGGCAGAGCATTACTTTCCTGGAGGCAGAGAGCATCGTCCCCTGAGCCGGGCTCCCCCCCTGCAGTGTCTTCCCCTCTGTGCCGCTTTTCAGTGCAGCGCTGACCTTGTTGTTAATTATTAAACCCCGAGCAAACGCTGTTCGCTGTTTTGTCCTAGTTACGCTGTGGGCTTCACGCTTTTTTTTTTTTTTTAAAAAAAAAAAAAAAAAAAAAACAAAAACAACCA